TCAGTTTTGAAAGAACTACAAAATTGACCACTTGCGTAATAGAAAAAATTTTGATCTCAACAAGTCTAGACAAAAATTTCATCACAGCTTGAAAGAGCATCACAAAATTAGTATTATATTCCAAAGTTTCGTTGCGAAATGTTGTAAAATGCGGATAATATATATAGCCTTGCGAAGTTTGCCGTTTTTCAGTCATTTTGTATTACAAACGGGAAATTGACAGACCCAAAGGGTATTGGTCTGTCAATTTCCCCCCGCATAATGCAAAATGACTGAAAAACAGCAAACTTCGCAAAGCTATATTATCCGCATTTTACAACATTTCGCAACGAAACTTTGGAATGTTACTAATTTTGTGATGCTCTTTCAAGCTGTGATGAAATTTTTTTCTAGACTTGTTGAGATCAAAATTTTGTCTATTACGTAAGTGGTCAATTGGTCCTGCAGAAAAGTGGGGGGAGGGGGGGGGAGTCCGGAACCTCCATTCCCCCTGTGGCTACGCTACTGGTATCGTCTTGATACCACGGATAAAACCTCCATAAATTTTACTCAACTTACGTGAATTTCCAATGTTGGGCTTTAATGGGTTAACTAGGTCACTGCAAAAAATTACAATAAAATAAAAGCAAGAGCTCATATATTTTAAATTTAAACAGCATATCGGCAATATCACCCTTGGCTTGTAATTTTCTAAACCATTATATGGTACTAATCCTAAGATATAGAACTCAAGTCTAGAATTCCCTTCTTCTTGCCCGTACTTTTCCAAAACAGTTTTTCAAAAGAAGAAGTGACACAATACTACAGAAAAATAACGGGATCATTGTTTGGCAACACTATCTCTATTTTGGCCCCAACATTTCTTCCGGTTTAACATACGAATCAAATTCCTCTGCCGTTAGATATTGCAATGCAATGGCAGCCTGTTTTAACGTGGTGCCTTCCTTATGTGCCTTCTTTGCAATTTTTGCCGCTTTGTCGTAGCCGATGTACGGATTAAGTGCCGTGACAAGCATGAGCGACTCGTGAAGGAGTTGATCGATTTTTTCCCGATTGGCAACGATCCCGTTCACACAATTATCCGTGAAGGCTGAGCAGGCGTCGCCTATGAGACGTGTGGATTGTAATACGTTACGTATTATGATTGGTTTAAAGACATTTAATTCAAAATGACCGTTACTGCCACCCACACTGACTGCTACCTGGTTACCCATGACTTGAGCAGCGACCATCGTAATTGCTTCACATTGCGTCGGGTTCACTTTACCTAAATATAGCATAGAGCCGGTAAGTACGTCACTTTGGCTAAAGAGCCTCGTTTTCATGTATGCACATTAGGTAAAGCCTATATCTCAAATTCATTAATAATTCATGAGTAAATTAGCCAACCATATTGCTTTATTTTGCTCACATGATAAAACTGGATACCTGGTGAAGTATATTGATCCAGTCCTAGGTCTGGTTCAAAATTAATTCACCTCACTTTAAGCAGAGCCTGAAATAACGGCCGGCGGTCGGCGGTTTTCCGACCAAATTCCAGTTTTTCCGACCAAATGCTGAAATGATCGGAAGTTTCGTCCGGACAAATGTTGAAAAAAAATATGATAATCTGGGGTTTTTTTATTATCGGGTCGGCGCTCAGCACAGTGAGTGCAGTATCTATAGTCTTAGATTATCTACACTAGTCTTATATAGAGCAATCAACTGGAAAGTTATCAAAGTTTCTTCGATCAGAGTATGCTTTAAACAAAGTTTAGTTAACTTAAATGTGTGACAGTGCATGAGTTACGAGTCAGAGTGACTGCTTTCATTGTTGTTAATTTGACGACCTGGAAGATAAAGAATGCGTTTCCTCGACGTTTCGAGCAAAGGCCCTTCATCAGGACAGTTAAATAGGCTGTTTATTACAAGAGAGTGATTTACTGCATGCTTGACATAATTTACTCAACGGAGGCGATCAAACTAAACTAAAAAATTTCCGACCAAATTTGAAAATTTCCGGTCAAATTTCGTTTTGCTTGGAAGTTTTGCCGGACAAATTTAAAAATTATTTCAGGCTCTGTTTAAGTAGTCATATATTCGTATGAGATGAATGAATGAATGAGTAACTTTATTTAAAGAGGGTAAAAACACATGACAGCAATATAACTGAAAAACATGTGGCCCTCATATACAATACATACAAAGTTATTAATTCTACTTTAAAACGTCTAAAAGCTACTTAGAGTAAATATGTAAAAGATCTTAGGATTATAAATTTATATATACAAATTATATACAGTACAACTTGCTGATCACAATAATAATTCAAAGCGATCGATGCCCTTATAAGATTCTAAGAAGTATTTTTTAAAGGCAAACTTAAAGCAATTGACCATTTGCGTAATAGACTAAATTTTGACCTAGACAAAAATTTCATCACAGCTTGAAAGAACATCACAAAATTAGTAATATTCCAAAGTTTCGTTGCGAAATGTTGTAAAATGCGGATAATATAGCCTTGCGAAATTTGCAATTTTCAGCCGTCATTTTAGATTACAAACGGAAAATTGACAGCCTCTACGCTTTGAGGCTGTCAATTTTCCGTTTGTAATCTAAAATGACTGAAAATTGCAAATTTCGCAAGGCTATATTATCCGCATTTTACAACATTTCGCAACGAAACTTTGGAATATTACTAATTTTGTGATGCTCTTTCAAGCTGTGATAAAATTTTTGTCCACACTTGTTTAGATCTAAATTTTGTCTATTACGCAAATGGTCAATTAACGCTTGGTTTCGTCTAAATATCCTTCGGGAGATTGTTCCATATTTTAATGCTGCTGACCGTTACAGATTTTCCTCCCTCGGTCATTTCAAATTTCTCAGTCATTTCTCAGTCATTTCAAGATGTCATTTCAAATCCTCCAATTCGGACTGGACTAGATTTCAAGTCCTTGCATTTTTATTCAGTCGGCCTCGGCTTCGCTTCGGACGTGATCAAATTGCGAGGACTTGAACTCTAGTCCAGTCCTCATAGTCGGATTTGAAACATTACATAAAGAATCCAATTACTACAAAAGGTGCCTGTTGCTAATTATAATGGCTCCATAAAACTTTGGGAAGAAGAGTATGAAGACTCTAAGCCACTTACCGGCATACTAATACCGCAATTACCGCAAGCGGTCCCTGTAGTGTTGCTAATTATAATGGCTCCATAAAACTTTGGGTAAAAGAGTTTTAACCACTTACCCGGCATGATACTACTACCGCAATTACGGTACTGCAAGTGGTCGCTGTTGCCAATTATAATGGCTCCATAAAACTTTGGGTAAAAGAGTTTTAACCACTTACCCGGCAAGATACTACTACCGCAATTACGGTACTGCAAGTGGTCGCTGTTGCCAATTATAATGGCTCCATAAAACTTTGGGTAAAAGAGTTTTAACCACTTACCCGGCAAGATACTACTACCGCAATTACGGTACTGCAAGTGGTCGCTGTTGCCAATTATAATGGCTCCATAAAACTTTGGGTAAAAGAGTTTTAACCACTTACCCGGCAAGATACTACTACCGCAATTACGGTACTGCAAGTGGTCGCTGTTGCCAATTATAATGGCTCCATAAAACTTTGGGTAAAAGAGTTTTAACCACTTACCCGGCAAGATACTACTACCGCAATTACGGTACTGCAAGTGGTCGCTGTTGCCAATTATAATGGCTCCATAAAACTTTGGGTAAAAGAGTTTTAACCACTTACCCGGCAAGATACTACTACCGCAATTACGGTACTGCAAGTGGTCGCTGTTGCCAATTATAATGGCTCCATAAAACTTTGGGTAAAAGAGTTTTAACCACTTACCCGGCAAGATACTACTACCGCAATTACGGTACTGCAAGTGGTCGCTGTTGCCAATTATAATGGCTCCATAAAACTTTGGGTAAAAGAGTTTTAACCACTTACCCGGCAAGATACTACTACCGCAATTACGGTACTGCAAGTGGTCGCTGTTGCCAATTATAATGGCTCCATAAAACTTTGGGTAAAAGAGTTTTAACCACTTACCCGGCATGATACTACTACCAGGCTCATTCTCCGGTAAAGATAATTCTCCTAGACCACATCTGGGTCCCGAACCAAGAAACCGTATATCATTAGCAATCTTCATCAAACTACAGGCTATGACATTCAGAGCTCCGTGTAACTCGATCATTGCATCATGAGCTGCTAACGCTTCGAACTTATTGGGCGCACTAGAAAATAGATGGCAAGATATTTCCAGAAGATATGTGGGTTTTATTAAGAGTTATATAGTGTACAGTACCAATCGATATATCGGTAAAAATCAAGAAAATACATGCATGCAGTAAAGTTGTTTACATCCAAAGCATTGCTCGTCTCCACGTTTGAGTGGCGAACAATTTGATAAAATTACCAAAATATTACCGAAAATTTAAGAAATTATAGTGTACATCAACTTGGGAGTATGTCCGGAAAAATGTTTAGCCCCCCCCCCTCCGGCAAATGTAATACTACACCCCCCCTGCTTTAGCCTCTTCGCTACGGCCCGCTACCGGCTTCAAATAAAATCTGGTTTCCAGCACAAAAATTACCGACCATCTAAGGATGTGAATCACGTTTCACGACACAAAAATCCGTCCATATTGCACATTTCACGAGAACAAATGTTGGCAATACATGGCTCTACCAGCCCGGCATAATCTGCATGTACATATACAGTACCTGGTGAATGAAAGAGATGTCAGTCCTGCTATCGTAGCTGCCATTTTCTCAGCAAAACCAATCTTTGTATTGAGTCCTGTTCCCACGGCAGTTCCACCAATAGCAAGTTCATAAACTCTTGGTAAAGTATTCAAAACTCGCTGTTTGCCGTACTTTAACTGAGTTGCATAACCAGAGAACTCTTGACCGAGTGTTAGTGGCGTTGCATCCTGAACGAAATTATTCATGTTATGTATTTATCTGCAGCTGCCATCCAGGCCAAACTTCATCGGTGGACACATAATCTACTTTTGCAAAAATCCTAGCAAACAGCTAAAACTTGACTTTACACGCATATACCTATACGATTACTTATCTCTCTACACTTCCTATCATCATGGATTGTAAAATAACTGAAACGGATAACTGAAAGAAACTTATTTGTGCTTTATACACAAAAACTTAACACACGATTTCACAAGGGTACGGAGCGCTTGCGGAGACCAGCTCTAGCTTTTTTTGAGAGTTGAGCACCGACGCCATATAATGAAAAAATTATTTCATTATTTGACTGAAATTTAAATAAGTTTGAGGTATTACAAGTTTTTCTCCCTGATGAGATTTCCATTTCTCCAAGCAAAATATCAAAACCGGTTTCTGAATGGTCGCCTGAAAATCGGCTTTCAGTAATTTATTTTATTATCCATGCTATCATATACTTTCTCCTTCTTAATTAATTCTTCCATTTAGGAATTCTTAATACACAATATGTATATAACATGTATAAACTTGTACATAAAATTGTAAATTGCTGGCAGGTGCCTTGTCTGCATGGGCCTTTTCCAAGAGTCCCATTCGTACCTTGCCTTTTTGGATCTTGGATTTGTAAGTTATTTCTTCTTATATATAACTGTTATTCTTACATTTGATAACATATTGTAAGCATTATTGATACAAATAAATTTGTGAAAACAAATACGCCCACTCCCCCTTTTCAATGTCACATATCCGCATTATCTACATTTCTTATTTTACCACAACGGTTTGGCGCGGATTGTACATCTTATACATGCAGGCTTTTTCCATGACCTTTTTACAGCCGTTAAACGGCCCCCAATCCTCAATCTTGAAATGAGTTTTGAAACTCAATCATTTCATCAAAAGTTTTAGCGCAGTGAAAATGAAATTGTTTGAGTTAAAATTGCGACGTGGAAATAATTTTTCCTGTTGGAAACCCAACAAAGTTAACGAACAGAAAGCAATTCGTTTCACCATAGACAATGTTCTGGATTGTCTGGATCAACCTCGTATCCAGGCTCTTTCCACCATGCTTGTCGCTGGAGGAGCGTAGTGGAAAGAGCCTGGGTACGAGGTTGTGTCTGGATTGTCTATGGTTTCACCAAATGCCACGAATACCCCATTCAATCCCATGATGTCAATTGTCACCTGAGTATGTGTTCGTCCAATTTTAATAATATCTTTAAATTCCTGAGCTTTTTTCTCAACAGCGTCATGTATTTTATCAAGTCCAGGTAGCAGGCGCTCGTGAACCTCCATTGCTGCGGCAATATGCATGGCTGTTGGGAATGTATCATTAGAACTCTAGAACGGAATTAAAACCTTGAGAAATCTTCAGATTGATAGGGATGGAACTGTACCTGCTTCTAGATTGTCTACGGTTAGACAAAAACAGGAATTACCTGGGGAAAATGGTATTAAAACTGTTGACAACCTTCGTAAATTTTGGACGTCAATTCGTGCAATCTTAGCTTCACTTTTCTGGATCATAGGCCGAATTACTGGAACATGCTCCAGATATGTAGAGATCACAGGACTTACCTGACTTTTATTCACATGATCGTTAGGGTGGACAGGACTCTTGCTTCCCATCTCGCCATTCATCATCTCAATAGCTCTATTACTGATCACTTCATTCACATTCATATTTGATTGAGTGCCTGATCCAGTTTGCCAAACAACCAGCGGGAAATGATCATCCAGTTTACCTGAGATCACCTGGAGAAAACAAAATTACAACCCATACAATGTGTTAAGTGCGTAAAGTAACCGCTTGTCAATTCTATTACAGAAACATCCTCAGAGATATGATAAGTGTTTAATAAACTAAATATTAATTCCAACAATGCAGAAAACAAAACGGTTTCAAGAACGCCACTCTACCCATTGAGCATCCAGCCAACATTTGAAGCTTAAATTTTAACCAATTTAAGTAAACGAAATATTTTCATGACTGTCACAACTAGTTATTTATTTATTAAATTAGGCAGGAAAACAAGAAAACAGCTCAGGAACACTAGCTAACACAGTGTGAGCCAATTATGTTGCTTAGTGACTGTTGCAGAACAAATCCAAAACATTAAAACATAGTACATGAAACAATACTGTACATGAAACAAGATTATGACATAGTCCATCCTATCCTAAGTAGAGAGCACGTTAGAACTGAAGCAACAACTAAAAGTGCAAACAACTAAAAAGTACTGTAGTACGCATGATGGTTTAGAATTGGAAACACAAAGATGCGGGGTTTAATCCCATTTTTTCGGAATGCTGTACATTTGAATGTTGACAGTTTTTCGGTCTATTATTCCAACCTCATCAGCTGCTTTCACAATATGATCAGCTACACTTGCATCCATACCATATTCTTTATTCACTATTGCTGCAGCTTTCTTGAGGTAGCCAAATGCTCGGATAACTGGAATCTACGAGTATTACACAATTTATGATAATACCAAATATCATATATTAGAAATGTTTTAAATTTGCTGTTGAGATGATGTTGCTGGAGTTAAGTAGTATGTGCCTTTCATGTCTGTGAGTGGGCTTCGATTCCCCGGCACAGTTATCTGATTATAGTTCAGCCTCAGATATATCTTCAAAAGAGGGCTCCCAGTTCAACTATACCAAATACTGCAGGTTTTCCTCCTTATACTCAGTTTCTTCTTGTAGTCAGAACCAAGGCCGGATTTTGGTGGAAATAGTGGGGGAAGTGGAAAAAAATTTAGGGGAGGTGCAGCGGTCCAGGCTAGCTCACAACCCCCATGGAAAGTTAGGGCCTAGAACAGGCCGAGGTCAATGACGTGACGTGCATGTAGTGTACATATGTATCAGTGTAATAATGAATTATGACTGTACAACTCATTGACATCTCAGTCATCATCGAAAAACAATGGACGATCACACATACATAACATACAAAACAATAGATACTCCGAAAATTGAAAGCATTTTGAAAAATTTATTTCGAAAAATTTATTTGAATAAATTTATTTTATTTAATAATTTTTAATAAATTATAGTCATCATCAAAAATTTTTCAAAATGCTTTCAATTTTCGGAGTATCTATTGTTTTGTATTTTATCAAAATACTCAGTGGTTCCCGTAACATACATAACATTGCATTAAAAGGGTATTTGACACAAAGATGAATGGCTATAACTGTTTCAATTTTACAGAAAAACTTTCTTATGGAGTGTAGACCCTAAGCAACCAAAAAAATGTCAAATTTTCACTTTGTATCATTGAAACTTTCCCAAGGGGAAGTGCAAAAATTCTTAGCAGGGGAGGTGCAAAACCACCTCAGGGGAGGTGCAAAACAACCTGAGGGGAGGTGCAAAACAACCTCAGGGGAGGTGCAAAACAACCTGAGGGGAGGTGCAAAACAACCTCAGGGGAGGTGCACACCTCCCCACAAAATCCAGCCTTGGTAAGAACTGATATCCAGAAAAAAATTCAGACTCGCATGTTTATTACATTAATTATATTTCTTTTTTTTCACTAATTTGCCATGTCAAAATAATTCAATAAAACCAGTTATATTTTAGGCTGGAGTCTATATAGAACCTTTGTAAAGGCTTTTAGATTCAGACCCCTAGTTTATGTACTAAGTATTTGTGCCAGGGTGTTAGCCAGGATTTCAAAAGTGGCCGTCCAAAATAATTTTGCAGGCGTGGCCACAAATTTTTGTGGGTGTGGTCACATGTTTTTGGGCGTGGCCACAATTTTTTGTTGTTGTGGAATTGTGGTGTTCTATTCGTTGAACCTTTTTACTTTTAGATGCACATTTCCATCATTAAATTAGTAAAAATACACTTATGGTATGAACTGTATGATCACTACGATGTACAGTATATGCTATAATGAAGAACACAACACAGCAGTGTAGTGTTTAGTTATTTTTTTATCAATCGCCGATATTTTTTCCCCTTTTTTATGCGTTTGGCTCATTTTATACCATCTTTGCCGTACCGTAACTGTAACTCTAAAGCAATAAAGCATGTGGCACTTGAGCGATTGCTGTTTTTTAAAACAGAGGTTTCAAATTATTCTCCTTGATATTTCATGCGAAAATCATCATGGTTACAAAAACATGGCGCGTTTGTTGATACTTCAATTCAGCCATATTCAACGTGTTTTCGACTGGAAAAAGTATGAAAACATATACCATAAGTAAAGTAAACAGCAGATGACAACAATTCGAAGTATTCAAGAAATATTACAAAGCTTGCAAATTGCTATTTAAAGAAAATATTCCCTTAGGTCGTCCATGGCCGTCCATTAAAATTTAGCCGTCCGAATACAGAAGTGGCCGTCCATAGGACGGTCGGACGGACGCCTGGCTAACACCCTGATTTGTGCTATTAGTCATTGGTTCTATTTATGAAATGTGAAGATGAACTATTAATGTGCAATAAATGAATAAGTTCTCACCGGCATTCTTTCATACTGTGGATCACCAATGGGAAAGTTGTGTACAGATCTTGCTGTTTGAGCTCCATAATATTTATCTGATGGAACCTCAATCTCACCAAATGTATCTGTTTCTATTCTTGTTGACTGCAAAAGAGAAAATATATAGTCATCATGACACTATTTAGGGAGTGCAGAGTTAGGGAGGTGGGAGATGTATAAAGAAGGCTAGAGCTAAGGCAAAAGGGGGAGGGTGTTATGTACAGTACAGAGGAGGAGGGGATGCATTAGGGAAGCATTGTAAAAGGGGTAATTCATAGAGAGGGGCACGTGAGGGAACAAATGAGTATGAAGGGGGTGCTGCATGTGAGAGTGGTGCAAGGGGGGGGGGGAGGATGGTGATGCAGAAAGAAATGCTCAAGGGGGAATGAGCTTGGAATAGGGATGCATAAAGAAAAGAATACAAGGGCAGGAACATGTGGGGCTGCACATCAAGGGCCGTGGGTGATGTAGGTGAAAGTGCCGGGGGGGGGCAAAGAATGATGGCATTGATGTATCGAAGAGTGCATAATGGGAAAGTGTATGAGATGATACCTGGGTGATATTGTACTACATGCAAGATTAATGTAGGGGAGCAGGTAGGAAGGGTAAAGTAAAGTGCGCAGAGGGTGAATGATTTATAGGGGTCGGCATGCAGAAGGAGATAGATGAAGGGTAGAAGGTGAAGAATTAGGATAATGTACCCAAGTGCTGGAGAAATATATGAAGGGGCGAGAGATGCATATCAGAGAGAGATGCAGGGGAGCAAAATGCAAGGGAGAGGGGTAAAGAAAAGTGCATATGAGGGGAGGGAAGTCATCTGGGGGGAGTCCAGGTCAAATTACAATTTTCCAGACTAAATGCCAAATTGATTGGATATTTTGTCTGGACAAAAAAAAATCAGTTTTCATATATCCTGCAAAGAATACACAATTGTATACTATATATACTGTATAATGTTTGGCATAAATATTTTTAATACTAATATAATTAAGATAATTTATCCAATGGCACTTAAGCCTGGTTCACATATATGCCTGCGACGTGCCTGCGACGTACCGGCGACGATGCCGGTGGTAGCTTAAAACGTAAATTATGTGAATATTTGTTCGCCGATTGCCTCCAGTGCCACAGTTACATCGGCGGTAGGCCGGGAAAGTTGACTTGAGTTCAACTTTGCCGGTATTTAGGCGGCAAGTAGAGGCATAATGATACAGTCGCAGGCATATGTGAACCAGGCTTTAGAGTCAAAATGTCTAACCAAATTTCATTTTAGTCAGGTATTTTTTCAGTCAATATTTAAATGTTATTTAGCTGCAGTCTGTCTAGATATTTATATTTGATACAAAACATTTCACTGATTTGATATTATTGAAGCATTTAATTTTATAAAACGTGCTTTGGTGCACTGTGCCACAGAGCATATACTAACCATTGCTCTTATAAGACACAATCGTTCTCTCAAAGACAGCTTCAACGTAGTTCTAAAGCAATATGAATGATAAAGGTTGCTTTTTAATTGCCGTAGACGCCCCGCAAAAGCCATCAACAATGATAATCTGCAAGAACAAGGAGGTAAAAGTATTATAATATTTTAAAAAAACAGTATTATAAAATTGAATAATTTCATGAATTTGCATATTGAATATTCAATTGCAAAGTTACGCAGGCTCAAATAGAAACAGCGGTAATTAGCCACGCCTTGGCAAGTACTTCATGTTTCTTCGCGTGGCATGGATATTTTGGATAAAACATGGTGTCCAAAATCAGGGGTGCTAACCTTTGGATTTTATCCCAAGCTCTTGGGATTTTTTAAAGTGAATGGGATATTTCTGGGATTAATTTTTAGAAATAATGCCTTGGGATTTTTCTAGTCAACGAATAATAGAAAAAAACAACTTTTAGCAGAGAAATAGTCATCTAATGCATGTTTTCATTAATGATTTGATAATTTATTGGGGGCAAAATAAGACATTTAGGCCTTTATCTTGAAAATATTGATCGAATCCAGAGATAAATCGTGGATGCATTTATTTATTTCAAATAATTTCAACAATGCTGAGTCTGTTCCAGTCTTCTTTTTCACTTTTTGGAAAACAGGATACCTTGCGGCTTGAGATTTTTTGAGAAAAAAGCGAGAATCTTCACAGGCGGCCCAGACGTGTATTAGTGTATAGTAAATATATCATTATAGAATATACTACACAGTAAAATTTGTAATGAATTTTATATTTTAAAATCATATTTACTTGCCTACTTTGATTGTATGTGATCGTCTTTTATTTCTTAGCGACTTTACATTCGATGCCTGCGAGTGCCTTCATAGGCAGGGCATTTTTTAACTATATAACTGGGGGGGCCAAAGCCCCCCCAGCCCCCATGGTGGCCCCCCCACTCAACCATTTTGGCCCCCCCCAGTCAAAGTCCCTTTTCTCTAAAATATAAGCAAAACATTGAATTTAGAAGGGAGGTTTGATATTCTAGTAACTGAAATTTGCTTTGTGAATCTTATGTCCTGTCTTTTATGTTTAATAAATACCTTATTAGATTTTAAACATTTCCCAGGCAGTGGATTGCATTTCCCAGACCCTATAGAGTTTGAGTTGTTGGACAAGTTAGTGACCGCAGGGGGCAACAGGCCCTCAACCATGTGTTTTATAAGGGGGGGATAATTTTGGCCCCCACCAAAAAAAAACAATTTGATTTCGATACTAGAAGTATTTGAAATCATATATACATATAATCAAATATCTGTAATCGATATTTTGATAACATTTCTCGTAATAATCCATCCTGACTCGCGGATATCGATCATAGACTCACAAATCATAATGAACGAATTAATGAAAGGGCCAAACAAAAGACGTATAGAAGACTTTGAAAATGCCATTTCCGATGATTTAGAGACGCAAAATTTTCAAAATTTTTCCACTCTGTGCCAACCATGGTGGCGCTTCGTGGGAGTCGGGAACTCTAAGTTTATCAAGCTGGCTCCCTAAGTGACGGCCAAGTTGTGGTATCTACATAAACATACTATGCAAGTACTTAACTGCAGGTTCAGTCTATCTACAGCATAATGTAATGCTGTATATCCAAAAATCTGTTTCAGAAAATGCAGGGAATTGCAGTCATAGGGGTAGAAAAATACAAAAATTTTCTGGGGGAGAAAACCCCAGACCCTCTCCAGGGCCGTAGCAACCGCGCCCGGTGTGGGGGGGGGGGGCTGGGGGGCTGCAGCCCCCCAGTAATTTGCTAATAATCATTCATTTTTTAAAATCATGCAGACCTTTATTATTTAATCCATGACAAACTGCAAAGAATGAAGATATTACCCATACTTTCCTGCAACTTATCCAATATATTGTTAATTAAATACACCTTCGTCCATTTAGTACTACTGAATTCTAAATTTCCACATACTAAAAACGCTGTATTCTGACAATCAGAAATCTGTCAAATCTTCCCCAAAGTCCAGGAAATGGCATTTCAGAGACTCTAAATTTAAAAATTTCCTCGGGCCTTCGGCCCTCGCTTTCAGCCCCCCCCCCAAACGAAAAGAGCTTCCTAAGGCCCTGCTCTCACCCCCCCCCCCCTACTATTAAATGCGATACCACACCAAACTTTTTGTTACCAACAAACCATCTATCATTGCTCCACACTCGGTATGGTATGGTCCCTTTTTGTAGATGGCCCCCCCACTGACGAATTCTTAAAAAATGCCCTGTTCATAGGTGAGGCCCTGTTAGGGTTTTAGGATTACGGATTATTTGGCATTTTTGGGCAGGATTACGGATTATTGCTGGTTAAAAAAAAGATGATGGATTATTTGGATAGGATTTTAGGATTATTGATATGCAAAGATCATCCATTTTTGCTATTGAAAATAAAAATAAGAGGTACAATTTGCAGTTTGTAAGAGGTCATAAGATGCCATTCAATATCAATATCTTCTTTATACTGGGAACACCATTAAAAACCGTGCTGAAAAATTTTAATTATTGACCATTTCGCACATTTGAGATGGAACACACGCGATCTTCGCGCAAACATGTACACACGTAAAAATCTCACAACTTGTCAACAAGATGTGTTCGCAAAAGGCTTGTAGCAAGCTTGTCAACAAGTTGTAACAATGCTGATATTTTATCAAGTTGCTACACAACCTCGTCCCCAGGGCTCAAAGGCCCTGGGGACGAGGTTGGTTGCTACAAGGTTGTCACTCACAACTTGTTGACAAATTGTTGATATCAAGTTGTTGGAACAACTTGTAACAAGTCTGTTGAGCTCAACAACCTTGTAGCAAGTTGTCAACAAGCTGGGACAGGGCCGTAGCTAGCATGTATAGTTGGGAGGGGAGGGGGGAGGGGGTGTCGGGCAAAAATTTCCGAATGACGAAAAAAATTTCCGAATCTTTCATGACATACGAAGGCAGTTCCGTAGGAAGCTGCTTTTAATCGGGGGAGGCTGAAAACGAGGGCCAAAGGCCCGAGGAAATTTTTTAACTTAGAGTCTCTAAAATGGCCATTTCCTGATTTTCCGAATATGTTAATTCTAAAAAAGTTGGGGAGTTAACCATCCCCCACCCCAATACCCCCCTCGCTATGGTCCTGAGCTGGGAACAAGCAGTGCGAACACATCCTGTTGACAAGTTGTTGGAACAGCTTTGAGTTACAACTTGTGCGTTTTTTAATACGTGT